AAAACTTCAAGATACGTTTTAATAACCTGAATATTCTAGGGTCTGTAAAATAGAAGATTCTACATGGCAAGCCCCTTAATGCATGTTTATTTGTATCATGAATGTATTTGCTTTGCAGGTAAAGGATCTCTTTTTTTCTTTTTTCCTCTTTTTTTTTTTTTTTTTCTTTTTAAAAATTTACTTATAGGTAGTTCTACTTGGATATCACTGGAGTAGTAGAGAATTTGAAGAAGATCTTCTTGTCCACAAGCCTGTTGCTAAATGGACTGCTGAAGAAGTGATAATTTGGCTAGAGCAGCTGGGCCCATGGGCTTCACATTATAAAGAAAGTTTTTTACTGGAGAAGGTGAACGGAAGGTGAGAGCCCTAATTGTCAAGAACATTATATGGTGTATATATATGCAGGACGATGTATGGTGAAATGACTCTAATTCATTCCATAGATTGTGGGAATATTTTGTTGATGTATCAGAATAAAATTCAGGGGAAGTTTTAACACTTGTAGTTGAAAACTTTGGTAGTAGATATTGAGCAAGCTAACTGAAAATTTTTTGAGAATGTTTTTAAATGCTGACAATTCAGACTGAAATGATACTGAAAGTAAAATTCTACTAATGTATTATCCACCCCTCCCACCTTTTCTTTCTTGTGAAAATATGCATATGCCATATGCATTGTTGCATTCCACCCAAGAGCTCTAGGTTTGATTTCAGGAGACCAGACTAGATCTGTGAAGTACTGAAGAACTGTGTTCAATAATAGCCAACAAGCTGATAAATTTGCATGCTGAAAGCAGGCAAGAGAAAACTTGAAAAGAAGGATATTTAAAACCCAGGCTCTGAGACGCAGTTGATTCAGAACACTTGATATGGAATGTAATCCAAAAGGTGATACCTTCTATCAGTAGCTTATTGTATTGTATAGTATGTCATTGCTAATTTATTAGTCATATCTTTTTGGTGAAGAGACACTATCTACCTTCTGAATTCTTCTGCTTTTATAGACTCCTTCTAACACTGACAGAAGAAGATTTCACGAAAGAGCCTTACAGCATAGAGAACAGTAACCATAGGAAAGCTATTATGGCAGAACTGGAATGTGTGAAAACTTTAGGCGTTAAACCCCCACAGAACCTTTGGGAATATAAGGTAAATTTTATATAAAGTCTGTCATGCATATTAAGTATTTTTAAAATAGTATCTTTAAAAGAAAACTCTCTTAAAGCCAGGAAGAATGTTAAGGTAGTAGAATTACTCTTGTAAAAACTGCTCAGTTTAATGAACTGTTGTATTTGAAAAATGGTTCTTTGAAAAATGATTGTCAGAAAAATCTAAGAACTGCCATGTTCTTTCATTTTATTTTTTCGTTGTCTGAAACTTAATGATTTGATAACTTCCAGGCAGTAAATCCAGGAAAATCACTCTTTCTTCTGTACGCGCTGAAGAGTTCTCCAAGACTCAGTATGTTATACCTGTATTTGTTTGATTACGCAGAAGCTTTCCTACCTTTCATCCACACAATTTGCCCTACGCAAGAAGACAAGTATGAAGATGTTGTCACAAAACTACTAGTAAGTGTTCAAAACAATAAAAATGCTATTTGCTTTAGTTATAAGCATTTTAAGACTAAGCAGCGTAAAAACACATAATAATTATTCACTACTTCTTTTTTTAAAAGGTTGTCTTGTAAAGAGATGAAGTCCTACATAGTGGTTCCTTCATTTTATTGTATGTGATCACCAGTGTTGTGACCATTACCTTTAATAAGATTGATTTAAGGCTTTTAAGACTGTAAATCTGTGAAACTGATTTTTTTTAAGTTCGCATGACTATAGAAAGGCTGCTTGTATTTTAACAAATGGCATTATGAGATCTGACTGACTGTGATGTTTTATCCTTATCTAATGGAAATTACTGGGTTATGGTATTATCTACTAGAAAGTACAGTAAAGATAAATTACTGCTTTCAATGTATGAAAGAACAACTTTTCAACAAAAGAGTTGTTGGAAATAAGTCAGTATTGTGTCTGTTTAATAGGAAATTGATTTATAGTCTTTTTATCCTAATTTACAGGACCTTAAAGATCCTTCTTGGAAACAATGGAGAGAATTCATTGTAAAGTATTTATTTTTGCCATACCAGTTGATAGCTGAATTTGCTTGGGATTGGCTGGATGTGCATTACTGGACATCAAGATTTATAATTGTAAATGCCATGTTGCTCTCTGTTCTGGAATTATTCTCCTTTTGGAGGCTCTGGTCAAGAAGAGAATTGAAGTAAGTCTTTCTGAGCTTGTTAAACAGGGTAGGAAGTACATGGCCTTATAAATAGAAAGTAACAGTCAACAATTTCACAGTCGCTCGCTGAAATGACAGTGTCGACAACACTGAGGGTAATAAGAACATGTGAACCTGGATCTGCATATATACTAGTACTCACTCTGGAATATCTTCATTTCTGTGAATACTTGAAAGGGTTTCTTATAGCTGGATTTACTGATCAGATGTAGCAAATGCAGCAAGGGTCATAGGCATGTTCTTAACCATTGGGTAAATACTGACTCTTACCTTGAGAATTGCCTTTTATGGTATTAGCTGTCAGCTGAGGACTAAATATATAAGATTTTTTTGGTTATATGCTTAACTTATTTAAGATCCTGAGGACTCATTCTTTAATAACTATAAAAGGATTTTTTATTTTTAACTTATTAATATAAAGGATGAGTCCTCAGGATAGTAAATAAGTTTTGTATGCTAATATTATTTCTTATAGGTGATCAAAATTGCTGGATTCAGTTAATTCAAGCATATTAATATTACTTCACAGTTGCTGTGATCTTTTATTTACAATTTTTAGAACTTGCATAGTTGAAATTCTTGTTTTGGTGTATGCTGGGTTTTCACTTTCTCTGCCAGCAGCTAGAGGGCAGAACCTGCTTAAAAGAGAACAAGCTATGACAAATCTGGAATTTGAACCCTTTAACTTGCTGTGCTTTGTGGTCTGAATCAATTGACTTAATGCTTCCTCATATAAAATCTAGTATTACTGTATTTTAAGAAAGTTTTTTTGGAGTGCAAAATGTTGTTTTACAGGTACTTGAGTAAAGCCTTAAATAATTGAAGGCTGTAGCGCATACTAGCTTTTCTTAGAATGGGTAAAACAAAACGAGAAGTTCCTCTAAGCCTCTCCCTTTCCTTTTTCACAGGACTATTCCTCACAGAATGTGGAAACATTTCTGGAAAGTCTCAACCCAGGGTCTTTTTGTTGCCATTTTTTGGCCTTTTATTCCTCAGTTTGTCTGCAATTGCTTGTTTTACTGGGCCTTGTACTTTAACCCAATTATAAACATTGATCTTGTGGTTAAAGAAGTAAGGCGTCTGGAGACACAAGTGCAGTGAGTGGCATCGGAACTTCTGAGCTGTTTAGCTTCCAAAAATGGACGTTTGAAATAAGCTTTGCTTTTCTTCTTTATGTATGTGGCAGTGAAAGTGGTGGATGATGTTAACTTAAATATACAAAAAAGCCTTAAGGTAAGTTACTCTTAGACCAGCTGATTCCAAATCTGAGGATGGGCTTTATTTTCTGAAAAGAATTTTCTGTTGAAAAGAAAAAAAAATTACATTCCTGAATTAGCTGTGTAAAACGTATACAGTCATGCCACCCTATTTTTGATCAAATCAAACTTCTCTATTCTGTCTTGAGCATTCTGGTTATTTTCAAGCCTGCCTTAAAATCAGTGTCTTCTGAATACTACAGTGATTTTTTTATTTTATTTTATTTTTTTTACCTTAGAATTTCATACCAGCAATGTGTTCCTCAAGTTTGCCAAAGGAAAGCTCTTCCTGGATAGGCTTGATATTGAAAGTACTTCAGTATTTTCAGTCTGCTTTACATGTGAAATAGTGACTGTCGATACACAGTCTCACAGTAGCGTTTGTTCTAAAATGCCTGTTGTTGAAGGCAAACACTACTTGAGTTTTCTTGTCTTTGAGAAAATATGGTGATTGCCATTCAAAATTTTTTATTCAGATCAGTTAGACTTCATCAGTAGCTTCTGTAATGCTCTCCTCTTGAAGTCTGTTGCTAATTCTTAAATTCAGGGCTATCTCTTAAAAAGGGTTCTTTTGCAAAAGTGACCTGACACTGTAATTACATTTTACTGCAATATAACGTGTGTATCTAGGTCTGTGAGCAAATATTGACTGGAAAGTTATTTTGTGTAAACAGGATTGCCATTTATTAATGTATGGCTTTTGAATGAAGCAGAAATTAGATTTTTCAAGAGCTTTGTCCTCTTGCATTCAACATTAGTTTGTGTTGTTGATTTTTTTCATTTGTATCATTAATATGAACTTTAAAGTTGACTATGAATATTTTTAAAGATTAAAGGTCTCTTTTGAAAACTTCATCCTTCCTAAATAATGTTTTTTATTATTTTTTTATATTGAACTGCTTTTCATTAGCTTTAACTTGTGCAAGCTTTTTCTGTAGCCCTGCATCTTTAAGTAAGCTGAGGTGGATGAAAGTAGACATCAGACACTCCTGGTTCTAAAACTGATAAAATTAGCAGCTATGAAAAAGTATATTATTCAGCGGTTCATGTTATTGATATCTCTTCCTATGAAATAACCCTAGCTAAAACCATTCTTACGTCTTTGAGGTATATACACTTCAGAACCTTGGAAACTCATGCTGTCCAGGATCAAACAGTTATGGGAAATGCAGACGGTCCCAGCGATTGCTACTTTTTTCATGCTTCTGTGTTGGTGATGGTTTGCGTTTGTACTTTCAAATCTGGCTCTGAAATGTTAAGGGTAGAACTTCTCCCCGTGCCCACAGGAAACTCAAGGTGTACATAGAGTAAGGAGCTTGAGCCATATCAAATGGACAACTTCTCCAGAAAACTGTATTTAAAAAGTAAGAAAGGAAAAAAATAATTAATTTAGCCATTTTTTGATACAGGTAGGACTACTTAAGGTAAATGAGACGCAAAAGTTAAATTAGGCTTCATAATAAGTTTAATGTAGATGAGAGGGCTCTTTGTGCTGAGACTGTCACTTCATGCATTTCTTCCATTCAGTTCAAAGTTAACAAATGTTAAGGTAAATGTTAGTGGAAAAGTTGGATTTGTATCTTACAGCCCGTGGAGGAGGGGTGAAAAGTTTACAGTGAATGATATTATGAATCTGAAAAATCTGTGAATCCAAATATAAACAAAATTAATTATAAGTCAGTTACTCCTTAATCTGATAAACTCAAATTCCTGTTCAGTCAATAAAAGCTCACACAGAACTAATGAATTTGCTTCTAAGTCTGTGCACTGTAGAAAGTAAATAAGAGGATAAATATTTGGCCATTCTGGGGGTGAAGAGAGAGGCTGAAGTGGAAAATCATTTCTTGTCACTATGACAAAAAAAAGAGTAATTTTAGATTTAAATACATAGGAAATTTTCATAAAGACTGGTGTCGTATATCTAATACCTACACAAAGGCTGAATCTCACCACACATAAAGTCTGGCCATAAAAGGTATTTCGTATGATAGGGAGCTTTAGAGAAACATTTGGCAGCTTCACGGTCACATTCACATGCCATTTTTTGACATTTGTCTTCTAGTGATTCTGAAAGAAAACACAGTAAGTTTGATGTTAGTATGAAGAAATTAAAAATCCCTAGTGGAATACTGAGAATTACTACCGCACATTCCATGTTTGCCATATAAATGGCTCTTCTGTTTCAAGTGCAATAGGAACTGTACTGAGCTTTAGTAAGATTTACTGTTCTTGTGTGTTCTTTAGACAGAGCTCTGTGGTAGGACATCTTGGCAACAGAGAATATACAAGCATGGTCTGGTTTAGTGACAAATAATCAGTGGAGCTATCTTGGCAGGTGAAAATATAATAATTGGATAAAGAATTAAATATTCTTCTTCACATTCTTTAATAAAGGAACTCTGATAACTGATTCCTCTTTAGAAAGTGGTATGTAACCCTCCCAGCCTGCCCTGTTGCTCCTGTGAAACTGGAGTTTGGGTAGGTATTTTCGATTTCACATATGCTTTAATCTACTAAGGGCATTAAAATTATACATGTGAATAAGGGATGCAAAGATGTTCCATATTCAGTTTAAATTGCCTGCCTTTTTTATTAAGGCATTCAGTAAGTTTTTAGGGTAACGTGTGTTTAAGGATTATAAAATCCATGTCTGGCCATATTTCTCTTTTTTTTTTTTATGATTGTGGTGGTGTAACTTAACAGATTTCTTGGCATGAACATTTCTTCTTGGCATGAACATTTTCTTCTACAGCGATACATTTCGGTTTTGTTGTGCCAACCCAGAAATGTGTGGTTTTTTCTCTCTGCAACTGTCTGTAAACTCAAAAATCCTTGATTATGTTTTCTCTGAGTATTTAACATTTGGAAAGGTTAACTGAATCTCTGCTTGAGATTTGTTCAGGAGCAGAATGAGTGTTCAGTTTGGTGAATGAACTCAAATTCTGCTATGAAATGGAAGCATTCTTAATGTATGTATGCTGATGCTGCAGCCAGCTACCCTGAGAACTCAATAGTGTAAGTAGCATAAGCAACATGATAGGACAAAAAAAAAATTAACTGAGAAGAGCTATTCCTTCTTTTGTTACTGTTCCAAAGAACAGTACATGGTACACCAGGGACTTTGTTTCAGCTTTGCTTCTTGATGACATGCCTACTATCTTGGCCAGTATTTTAAAATGTTATCAGCGTCTGGACTGGCACAGGAGCAGAACATTTACAGTCAAATATAGGGGGCAGTAGCTTGACAGTTAATGAGAGAGTTTCAGAGACAAGACACTTAGTCCTTCTGAAGCAGAGGAGGAAATGAGCAAATAAGAGATTCTGTATGAGGTAGACGCTTGGGCAAAGTAAAGGTTTAATGAAAAGGAGGAAAAGAAATATTGCCAAAAACTTTCATTTGATTTCAGGTGAGGCAAATTCAAAATTGAGTTTTGAAATGAAAGGGGTTTGTGTTTTCTCTGAATGGCCTACTGTCCTGTCTTTAAACTGTGGTAGTCAGAAGCTCACACTCATTTTTGTAAAAAAGTTTTTATAGTGGTCTGTGTTTTTATGGTGCAAGTAATAACCAATTTTCAAGCTGATTTGCGTTCTAGGTAGTAGCATAAAATTACATGCAAAGTAACTTTCACCTAGCACCTGATTTAAAAGACAACACAAAACCAAAACCTACAAGAGCAACAAAATCTGCAAATTTTAGGGACTTGTGAGAAGTTATGGCTTCAAAAAATCTTTGAGTTGTATTTGAAAATATTTGCTAAGACTTTGGGAGTTTTGAATAAAAAACATAAAAGAAATGCTGCTTTTTCCTGTTGCACATTTTTTGTTTGTTAGATACATTTTTGTCCTTCTCTTTTATACTTTAGCATGGCAAGTATATTACATTCATATTTCCGAGCAATCGAACAAAATTTCTTAGGATGTTGTCAGCCATCTGGTGCAACTTCTACACTAATTACGTAAATATTTTCAAATTAACATTTTATGGTTTGTGGACATGTTACTTCCATAAATAAACATAGTCATCAAATATTTTATTACCTCAGTGTTTGAAATTGTAAGTTGTAATTGTGAATTCGTTCATAAATTGCAGCCACTAAGCGGCGGGCTGTGCAACTGCTCAGTGGTAAGTATGACAATAACTTTTTCACCATAAACTTGTAAATGGTGTGAAATATTTTCCGCTAAGTATAAAAGGGATTCTTTTTAAACAATTGTAATTTTCTTGCCTCCTGTTTGTAGTTGCTTTCCGTTAGGAGACTTGCAGGGACCAGCATAACATGGATTCCTCAACGTATGTAAATGCTGAGTAAAAAGAGGGGGGTTTTTGGTAGTGTTTTCTGGAAGGGTAATAGAAGCTTGTAGACCAGAATTCTGTTTGTTTATGTGTGCCAGGGCATTAAGAAGAAGAAACTGCCATCAGTTGGCATAGCTGGGCTTTCTGGGGGTGCAGCTTACCACGGCAAAAAAAAAAAAAAAATCACAAAAGGAAGGATGCTAAAATAAGAGTAATACAGTTAATTAAGAAAATGTCTTTCTATGAAGTCAGTGAGACAATCAGTAGAAGTAACAAAAAAAAAAAACAAACCGCAAAACCCACAACAGAAAACTTCCACCAACGAAAAACTAGACCTGTTCACTCACCACAGACAGGCGTGTTGTCTTCACATTCCCAGTGGTAACTCTCGATCTTTGGGTGACAACCTGCTTGCTCTGCCTTCCCATAGCAGCAGTCATGGTGAAAGCAGCACCTGAGAGTGATAGAAATGGGCTTGCCTTAATTCATACTGTGGTGACTTATGGTCACATAACCTGGATGGATTTTATCAGCTCAACAAAAAAACACCAAAACCCACAACAAAAAACTTCCACCAACGAAAAACTAGACCTGTTCACTCACCACAGACAGGCGTGTTGTCTTCACATTCCCAGTGGTAACTCTCGATCTTTGGGTGACAACCTGCTTGCTCTGCCTTCCCATAGCAGCAGTCGTGGTGAAAGCAGCACCTGAGAGTGACAGAAATGGGCTTGCCTTAATTCATACTGTGGTGACTTATGGTCACATAACCTGGATGGATTTTATCAGCTTGTTTCTACAGGCCGTAAAATAATAAAATTAAACATATGCAAATGTACAAACAGTTACTTGCTCAAGAATAAAGATAGGGTAAATGTTTAATATATCACCTGGGAAAAAATATTACTCTGCCATGTAATCAATGATGAGGAAAATGTCTGATACACATTGATATAGTTCCTCATAGATGAAAATAAAATGAATCTTTAAAGCATTCTCAGTTTTAAACAGAGGAAACCATTATGTGGGTATGCTTCTCTCCTAGCCCCTTCCAAGAAAACGGTTAAATCCCAGAATAGTCTGTCAGATAGTGAATGATGTATTTTTTCTGCTATGGTAATAGGAAAGGGACAAGAATATTTGTTAGGCTGTAGCATGCTGTCATAAATGTTGTCTTACAGCAACGTCCTTGGATGGTGGCAGAAAAGCTGAGAATGGGTGAAATGAACAGGCACGGGTGCTGTTTAGTGCCATAACATAACTAAAACCGTTTGCTCAGTATCATGAGAAAATTTGGAAAATTGCACGAAATAATGATTTCAAAATTGTTCTTGTCATAACTGGGACAATGAATTTATAGACTTTCTGTGACATTGTGGAACTGAACATACAGGTAAGCTTTGATGGCATCTTTTAATGCTTAAGAAAAGAATTACTCTTCTGGTGTATAGTCACTACAAACCCAGAATAGCAAGCAGAGGAGGTAGCAAGGATCAGAAATTAAATGGCTTGTAAGTTTTGCTTGCAAACTAACTATACTATTTTTTTTTTTTTTTTTTTTTTTTTTTTTTTTCTTGTGTTATAAAAAAAAAAAAAAAAAAAAAAAAAAAAAAAAAAAAAAGTTCTAGGAAAAATATTAAACCCTATGCACATATATAATTAAACCTTTAAAATAGAGTGATTTTCTTATGCCAGTCCAAGGATTATTAATACACACGTCAATGTCAAATTTAATAAAGCTGTTGCATTAATTGTAACTATGGTGCCTTGTACTAACACCTGTCAAGGTATTTCTGGTGCAGAAAATCTTTGTCATGAGTGAGTTAGATAACATAAACTGTAAGTGAACTAGCCTTTTACCTCAGGAGATCCGAATTCTTTTTTTTTTTTTTTTTTTTTTTTTTTTTTAGTCTCAGTGGAAGAACAGGAAGTATCCACAAGCTCTTTGCATTCATTCATTCAGTTTCCGCCTGGTAGCCTAAAGCCATCACATTACAGTAGGCACATGATGTTTAGGTGGTGTTTAGATTGCCTGAGGAATTTGTCTGCAATAGAAAAAGGCAGTGCTGTGAGCTCTTACTTGCAACTACTGTTTTTTCCTATGCTTATTAAATAATTACTTGGTAATTCCACACGAATCTCCATTTAAAGGTCCTTCAGTATGTAACAGCTGAACAGCACATGCCCATGAAGTAGCTCAATACATTCACTTCATGCATAGAAATCAAAAAAATACACTGACTTCTAGTGAGTCTTTGTAGCAGTACTGAGGTAATTAAACCAGGAAATACAGCTTATTCTGCCGTAGTGCAGTCTACATGTGTTTACAAAATTTTTTAGAATTACTTTAGTCTTATTTTAAGCATTTTAAATAAAAATAGATGCTTAAGGATTTTACATTCTGTCTTTTGGGGGCAATACATGATTGTCTCTATTTGAAAGTTCATAAGTGGCAGGCAAAAATCTAAATTGCAATAACTATTATTTGAATAATTCCATCACAGACATCTTTATTTCAGATTAATATTTCTGTATTTTCATTTAGCTTGTTTTCAGGCGTAGTTCTGAATGTAAACAACCCACAATATAGCTCAAAACTTGGGACATTTACAAAGTGAAAAAACAGCCTACAATGAAAGACTGGCAAAGTGCAGATTCTCCATCATTATCTTTAGGTATATGGAGGACCAGAAATAATAGTAGTCCCTTCTTTTTGTCTGTGTTCCCAGTTGTTAAAGTAGCAACTACATTCTACAAAATTGTCTTTTAAAATAACAGATTACACATTCAAAAACTTGAAGCATGTAGGCAGACATTCTAAAAGTTTTAGTTCTAATCATGACTAGTATCTTTATGCAAAAAACCCCAAACCAATCAGATTTGAACTTTCCATATATTCTACCCTAAATGTATCAGACATTTGCTTTCCTTTTAATTTACAACATACCTGTCTGATAAGTGAGAATTTAACATGTCACATACAGTGGGGAAATGTATCATGATAAACTTGAAAATACAAAACCTTTATTTAACTATTGTAACCTGAAAATCATCTTCCTGTCAGATAATGTTCAATTATAAATTAATTGCTGGTAGTCAAGATGCTGAGCTTTAGTACTAGTCTGTTTTTAGAATTATTTTAGTAACAATTAGGAACAACAAACAAAAGGAATTATTTTAGTAATTCCTTTTAGTCAAAAGTTATTTTTTAACAGGTTGACTTTTGCATAATTTTCTATGTATTATTTTGAATACTAATGAAATGGGATGGGTGGAAGTAGAATCAAAAGATTTTTTCAGTTGCTTTTTTATTTTTAATTTTATAGATAGCTTGAATGTTGGAGTCTTAAAGCTTTTCCAAGAAGACTTTAGTTCTTCAGCTCTTGGCCAGACAACAACAGCAAAGAGACTCAGTTGCACTGTGAGTCCAATATTAACGCAATGAGAGTTTACGGTGGGTAGGACTCACGTAGATCTGCAGTAACACTATTTTAATGCTTCGGAGTTTCTTAGTGTATGCGAGCGCATTTCTGAGAGATGTTCCCTCACTGATGTTAAAGAGGCCTAATGCATCCTCATACATTCAGCACTTAGTTACTCAGGTAATAGTTACTCTTACCAGTCTACTCTGTCCTTGGGCCATCCTCTTCCTCCCAGACCACAGTAGCATCCGTAGCGCAGGTAGGCAAAAGGGGATCGTCCTGTAGTACATTTAATGGCTCCGGCTAATTCAAGAATTCCTCTTCGATTTCTAAAATGAGGTTCCCCAAAAGTACCTTTATAAACTGTGGAAGAAAAAGTCTTTATTTTTTGTTGAACCAAACATGCAGATACAAAACAGTCATTTTGTTTGGGTTTTTTGTGGTGGTTGTTGTTGTTAAAGGGATTCTCACTGTTATTTCTCCAGAACACAACTGTATTTAGGAACTTCACTTTAGCCATCCCGTGTCAGTACTAAAGCAGTAGGTCCAGGGCAGCAGATAAATGTCGAGACATCCGATGACTTTTTTTTTAGGGCTCCATGTTATCCTTCAGGCTGAGCTAACACATCAAGGACCTTTAGTGGTACTGGGCAGCATTTCCCTGCAGTGCAGGCTCCAAGCTATTTGCAGCAATTTTTAGAAGTTGGATGAGTACAAAACAAATTAGTGGAAGGCTGCTGATTAGAGTTGTCTTACTAATTAAACTAATGATTTATTTTGGTATGAGAACAGTTTATAAACCTTAACTCCCAGTACTGGATACGGATTGCGAAAGACAGTGAGATTTAATAACTGATAATATCTGTGAGAGAGACAGTCAGCAAAAAAAATTATTTAGACTTTGTCATTGAAGGCTGTGATACTTATTTTCTTGTGGAATAACTATATGATTATACACTTTGTATATAATCTGTATAATCATATAATCTATTATAATAGACTAACTAATAGACTAATCTATTATAATAGATTATATGATTAATTATAATCAGTTAATGGAAGATCTGCCAGAAAAACATTGTTCCCAGCACAGTTGAGTAACTTGAAACGCGTGGGATGCTGGTGACCTGCAGCACTCATAATTTCACAAAACAAAGGGATTTAAACATCTCATGAAATCATCTCATTAAGAAATGCAATTGGTTTGTGTGAGAGAATGGTGAAAAAGCTTTAGAAAGAATGTTTATAGCTAATCCTTACTTATGAAAATAGCTAGGCTCCCTACAACAGTATTTAGTGCTTTTCTGACTGGTTACTGTTCCCAGATCTTAATCTCTCCTAGTTTGTGGGCACAAGGTCTGGGGAGAGGAGAGGATGCTGAAGCAAGAGTCCTTAAACTTGCACATTCATCTTTGGCCATTGGTTAAAAGCAATCACATAAGGAGTTAGAAAAGATACCTTGGCTATGTGGTGGCTTGAAAAAGAAAAGATACCTTGGCTATGTGGTGGCTTGCATTTTCATTTAAAAACTGTTCCATTGGCACTAAAACTTCCTTGCTAAGATAGTAAAAAGTATCTCTTGTGTCATGGCTTCATTCCAGGCTATTATCTGCTGTTTACTTTTATAGGGTTTCTGGTAAAAAAATCCTCTTTCTTTCCCCAGGGGTCCATGAGATGTTCTGGGTGGACTCTTTGGAACCTGCAGTTCTAGGTGTCACAATAACAGTCACGTTGTGGAACTGGCAGGTGATCATCTCCTGTTCTGTTGTAGCTTGGAATAGATGTTTTGGCTCTGGGTAGCAGAAATATCTGCTTGAGTATAACCAGATTGTTACCTGTACGATAGCATTGGAAGCGTTATCTTGACTGCAGCTTTACAAATGACAACCGCTCGTAGTCTGAAACGTTTAGTAAGATTTGGGTAGGCTCCTGTAGCTAATCAGTAATGGCTGAAGGAACTGTCTTGGAGGTTAATGGCAAAGCTGGGGTTTTTCTGCATGATGTTAGTGATTCTGAAGAAAGCAAAGAATTTTTACATTGTGTCTCAGTTCCTAGTAACTGGGGAAGGATGGTGTAGGACAGCTACAAGACAGGAAGAGGAAACTAAGAATTTCCAAGTCATATTCCTGGTTTCATCAGAGAATTGTTTGCTAACTTTGGACAAATCCCAGTCCCTTGAGTTCAATCCATGTAAAGTAGGAGTGAAGAACTGTCTGTTCTCTGAGGAGCTCAAGTATAAATCTTTAAAATGTGCCATGTAACTTAAAGAAAAGGACATAAACTTTTTATCCTTGCAGTTTGTGTTACAGCATCTGGATGTCCAGGTATAAACCAAAACTGTATTATATGGTAGATACTCTGAATATGACCAAAGGAGAAGTCTCTGTCCCAACAGCTTTGTAACCTGAGTTTAATAAAAGCGATGAAAGACCATCCTAGAATGCATAGAACTATGGGAACAGTAAGAGTATCAGGATGATGATGGTACCATTAGTGTAGTAGCAACATAACAAAATTTCCAAAGAATTTTATCAGAACTTCTGTGGCATACAGTCAGAGGGGGATGTGACATCCTCTGTATTTTCAGATGTTTTGTGATTAAGGTGTGCTTTTAAAAATCTTCTGTGTGGTTTTGTTTGTTTTTATGAGGATTTTGCATTTAGCTTTATGGACAAGAGTACTCCTATAGGTTTGATTATGCATTCCTGGAAGAGTAGTGTCCTCACTTTATGCCTAGCCTGGTTTTTGGTTTTGTCCTGCAGGTTGTATGTAGCTCTATTGAACACATACTGTGAGTGGGGGAAAAGGGAGGGAACCAGACTGCATTTATTTTAATTTAATTGCCTTGTAATATATATGAAAAAATCAAAACCACATTGTTTTGATATCTAGAGGTCAGAGGAAATAAGTACAGTTAAGTGTACAACATACTTAGTTTAGTTAAACATACTTTAGATAGACAGTTTGAGTCTAGTCTTGGTATGGCTTTTAATATTCTTCTAATATTTAATTCCAGTGTTTATTGCATAATAGGAATTGGAACTTTTAGAAAGTTTCAACTGTTCTCATTCTTGAAAGAAGACTTTAAAGACAGGTATTTGGGAGAGGAAAAAAAACTTACAAGAGATTAGTCCATCAGCAAGCTCAGATTTAACTGGATCTGAGGTAGCTGCTTTAAAAGTAAAGGTTGAAGGGAAACCAAAACCTTGCCAGTCCTAAGGCTACTTTAGGCACCATGAAATAGCAGATGGGGAAAGAAATAACCCCAAACAAATCTATGCAGTCATCTTTGTGATTGTAATGACTAAGCCAGAGAGATCAAAAGTCCTGAGATGATCTTCTGAAGACTGAAATTAAGTAAACACTAAAGGCAGCCTGAGAGAAAGTAACGGTAACTAATCACATTATATTTGTGTTGCGCTTGATTTTAAAACAGTAAATCCTGTTGCCCAAATTGGAGCCCTGCCACGTTTGGAGAGTTTGAACTTGGTTTGTTGCCTGGATAAGCGCTTGAGAGTTTAGATTGTGCTAATTGCTGTACATTGTTATGTCTTTGCAAGATGTTTTCCACTATATCTTCCTACTCACCCTTTTTCATAGTCATCTTACAATAGGATTTAAAAATCCAGTCCCTTAAATTTCCCTGTGCATAGAGGGGGGGAAAAAATAGAGAAACACATAATTTTTTTGTGAAAGGTCATATTTCCCATAACATTTTATTCTTTGCAATGGGCATAATGCAAACATAATAATTATTTTTGCAGCTATATAATTATATTTTTATTGAGATGCACACCTTTGCATAATTATGATATGAAACTACATTAATCATTAGTATCTAGTAAATTCTATGGTGTTTTGTGGGTTTTAGAAGACATTTTAAGCCATTCTTTCAAAGTCTGAGGCAACAGAAACACTTTTTTATGTTAAAGATGTGTAAGATTTCCTATAGTGCTATTTCCTTTGTCCAGTCATAGTGCTCCAGTAGTTCAGAACTTGAAAATTTGGAACAAACAGATTTTGTGATTCATCTCCAAGATTTTAACAGAAGTGGAAACCTTTGAACTGTGTGCCTTACAGAAAGTTTTTTTTTTTTCTTGCTTAGATTTTTGCCTCTTGCTTCGTAAGCCACCAGGAATGGCCTTTTTTTTGCCTCATCTTGTTGCCCAGCCTACCGATGCGCTATCTCCACAAACTGTGGTTACAGGTAAATTGTGTGAAAGGATAAATTTGCCTGTTTTGATACTGTGGACCAAGCATTGAGAAACAGGTAAATTGCATTTCCCTTCCTCCTCACTGCCTACGGAGTGGGTGACTGAGGTGCCTGACTCAGAGCTATCGGTGGCAGCCAGGCTCTCTGTAAGGCTCACTGCAGGCTGGCAGGAGCAGGGAAACAGCCCTTCATTGCTTTCCTCAACGCTCTTGCTGCGGTTCGCGCTGTGCAAAGGAGGAGGTCTGGAGGGTGATCACAGCATGGCAGCATGGCAGCATGGCAGGACTTTGTAGGGCATGCTGAGGTCAGGAAGTAGAATTGGGGCAGAGCTTGGTGGGACCTTAAATTGGCCCCATTATGCAAGCACCTTAACTTATGGTCTTTAATCATGTGATTGCCTCCCCC